AGGTCCCAAAGTTACCTCTCTAAAAGATGAACATGGGAAAATCCCACTCCTACATGACCCCCGCATGGTAACCAATGGAGAGGTCACCCAGATGCCCTCACCACCACTCTCTTTCCCTCAGATCCCACTCCTTCTTCTTAACATCAGTCCAGTCAAGTGTCCCAGTGCTTGAGCTTAGCTCCACAAAGGACCCCGACCGGATTTAAACCAGGAACCTTCTCTGTTGTGGGTCAACAGCAATAACCACGGCACCACCATGAAGCCTAAGATGAAATGCAGGGAATTTTGACATAAATGTCTCTTCTGGCCTCAGATGGAGCACTGATCCAGCTGTGCATCTGTCTACCTCCTTAATGAGAAATGTTTGCATGTGAAGAGACGACCGATTCATAAACCTCAAAGTGAACTCTGGTCTGATTGCGGTGTTGCCCTTCTCTGCATGAAGCACCTCCTTCACCAAAAAGTTTTTGAGGGACTTTTCGTGTCAGCATGAGTTCAAAAGAAGCCCTCTGCACGCTCCAACGCAGCCAGAATGCCGAAACTTGGTCAGGGGGGAAATAAAATGGAGACAAACATACATAATGATCCTAAAAATGGATACAAACAAAACGATAAACACACAACAAACAAGGGCCTTTTCTTTTTAAAAAAAAAAATTATTCTGCCTTTGTTCACATGATACAGACTGTCTAATCCTCAATATCAGGGGGAAATTGTGAGAGAAATTCTGGGTAAAAACCTCGACCCTCATCCAGTTTGGATCAAACAAACAAAAGATGAGCTTCAATAAATAAAGTAAATGGAATGATGAAAAAGTCTACTTGTTGTACTGTATATAACAAAGGTTCCTCTAAAGAAGACAGCTTTATGAGGAACACAGTGACACTGGCAGGGGGGGGTAGGTGGGAAGAGTCAACAAGTCACTTTTTAATGATGGAGTGCATTTGATGATGGAATTAAATGTTTGCTTTCACACAGTGACAACTTCTGCTTTAAGTACCTTCACTGCTCCACTCTTTGTTTGCCATGTTTTGCTGGTACGTGTGTATTTGAATTGCAGCCTCTAATTAACATGGCTTTTTTGCTTGTTTTTCCCTGTCTTTTCCCAGGTTCTTCCGTGGATATTTTTCCAAGCTACGGGGTGCAAGGTGCTGTGGGAAGAGAGGTCATTCTGGCCCTCTGAGGATGGCCCTGTCCTGCCTGAGAGCAGCCCACACATACAGCTGTCAGAGTGGATTTACGTGTGACGGCAAATTTTGGGGGAGGGTGGCATTAATGTCAGCAAAACACAAATGAAGACAGATGCCAATATATATGCACATATCAAGCAATAACGGACAGCAAACTCACCTCAGCATCTAGAGGACTGGGGGAGGAGGGGAAAATGAGGAACAGAACCCTCATCAGAAAAAGAAACTATAACAATTATTCCCTGGCTGTCCTAACAGGAAACATCCCCCCTATTGCCCCGTTGTGTTAAATGTGACAGAACTCATACAATCTCGTGCAGAGCATCAAACACGGGGCCCTTTTGACCCCGAATTTAAACTTTGGACTGATGAAGAGCGATTAAATTCAGCTGATGAGGTAACTATACTTTCTTTTGGGCTTTTCATAGAAACACTTCATTCTGTTTTTGGAGCTTTATAAAGGGCCCTCTCGCTAAAACCCTTTTTTTTATTTTATTCGTCGACAGTATGTGTCACTTTGTGGTAAACCGCACTTTGCACACGTGCTCTCATTCTCACGGACCTACCTCCTTTCTGTCCGGCAGGGACACTTCCCTTGTTTGTAATCTCCAACAAGTACAAACCCACAGGCATGTTGTGAACCACCAAACATGAACACCTCAAACCAAGACGTGCTCGCATTTTGGCACCGATCTGCGTACAGTCAATGCGGAGCTTTTGGAGTGTGTAAAGAGAACAGCTTCTATTGGTCCCTTAACTGTGCAGTGTTGGGTAACAAGCTTTAATGCAGGTACGACAAGTATCTCTACTCCTTGTTTGGTGTTGAAATACTTTATGTCACCCTCTACGGCCCTCACATATTTTATCACACACCTGATTTGTTTCCATTTGTTTCTTTTATGATTCTGAGGCGCTCTGCGATGGCATACTGCCAAACAACAAATCATCCATCCATCTATTTTCGTAATCGCTTATTCCCTAATGGGGTCGTGGGGATTACTGGAGCCTGTCCCAGTAGTCAATGAGCGAGAGGCGGGGTACACCCTGGACGGTCCACCAGTCCATCGCAGGGCCACACACAAGACATACAAGGACAAACAACCACGCACACTCATACTCCTCCTATGGGCAGTTTGGAATGTCCAATCAACCTAACATGTAGGTTTTTGGACGGTGGGAGGAAGCCGGAGAACCCGGAGAGAAACCACGCAGACACAGGGAGAACATGCAAACTCCACAGAGTAAGGTCCTGGTTCCCCCGGGGACTCGAACCCAGAACCTTCCTGCTGTGAGGCGATGATCACACACCACTTTATATCTACAGCGATGAATGAAAGTTCCATAAATGTCAATAAAGCTCCAATTAAAATGAATATCAAACTTTTATGACATTTTTAAATTATGGAGATAAAAAAGGGCGAACGAGTTCAGACACCATGAAGCAAATGAGGGAGAAAGTTAAGTAGCCACCAAGCAGGCGGGACAGTCTAAGAAAGTCAGACTGAAGAAATGATTTAGCCTGTAAAAATATCAGTGAGCTCAAGAAAAGAAAATACACAGAGACTACTAGTTCATTTGAATGTGGGTACATTCTCTAAAAAGACAAAACTGAGAAGAGGAAATCTTTATCAGCCCACAGCATGCCGCCGTGTGGTTAAGCATGTCCACTCTAAAGCTGTTAGCATGCAGGAATCGACTCACACAACACCAGCATTTTATTGGTTCCCCAGGGCAGTGTTTTAAGATGCTGCGCCATCTTTTACTGGGCCATGGTGATTAGGAGCCCAATGTGGTGACGGCACTGCAGCCACTGGGCTGTGATTTATACCCGACTACACTTCTGTCTGAAGTGTAGAAAAGTGATGTCATAAAACAAATCGGAAAAGGCTCCAAATGAGACAGAAAAATTAGAATTCAAACAACTTACTATATATTTCCTTCAAAATCAGCTTCCCAACGAATACACTGTTTGTGACGATGGGATGATTGTGGCCACAACATGATAAAAAGTATTTTCGTTTTCTGTTTAAGAACATGGTTTTGTTCCTAAGAAATACCGTTAAAAAAAGTTTGACAAAAAAGGAAACAAGTCCAAGTCAGGAAATATTATACACAACAAACATTTATGGTAGATAGAGAGAATGGCACGGTTACTCTGGAGGTCAGAATGTTTAACTTTCATAAATAATAAATTTTCCATCCTATCTTCCTAGAGAAGAACCCGACATTTCCCAGTAACATGCTACTTACTCCTGACTGTGTTGCTTATTACTGACTGCAATGCAGAGATTTATTTCACAGATAATATAATGACTGTTAACTTTCTGATTGTATACAGATTTTTAAAATCTAAACAGGTGAGAGAAAATTGACAGAAATCGGACATTTTTTGGTTACTCTGAGCCAGCGCTTAAATAAATACAGAGTAGTTAATCTGTTATAATCCATAAAAGTCCAAACAGTGTCCAATCTGGGTGGATCAGTTTCACAGAACCTGAACATTGGAGATGCTGGTAATCTTTACCATCAACAAACTGAATCCCTTAGATAAATAATTTGTCCACAGCCAACCTGGATAACCTCAGAACTGTTGCCATAGTTTGGACAAAGGTTCACATGAAGGGTAAACCAGGTCGAGAAGCAACAGGACACGTGCAGTCACTGTGTCGGTTTTAAAAAAAGCAACACAAATTTGTTCAAATACATTTTTTCTCACTCCTATATTTCATCTTCAGATGTAAAACTTAGCCGCTGCAAAGGACAACATCTGGACCCTGCGGGATATGCGTGAAATCATTTCTCTATTCCTGTAATGACTGTAATGGCTTGTAGATGGAACTGTGTGTGCGTGTGTCGTACATGGATAATAATTCCTGTAGCAGAAGCAGGAGCAGAGCGATCAAGAGAAAATTCATGAACCACAGACTGTGTGGAGACTTCTATGCTAAAGCAAATGGTAAAAATTACACACTGTGCGCATGGCTCCACAAGTGGAACTAAAGCAGCCCTTGTCCAGAGGACACTGAGGGTGGAGGGGCTGGGGTTGTGGGGGGGTTGGGATTGTGGGGGGGGTTCAGGAGACTCAGGCGACTGCTACAGGGTTAAAGAGAAGGTTGCATGTTGAAGAATTTTTCTTATTGAGGGTCTTGATACCTTCAGCAGCACCAGAAATTTTGGCTGGCTTTGGTTTTTTTGTTGTATGTGTTGTTGTTTCTTTTATTCAACATAGAAAAAACGGAAACAGAGGCAAGAGCTGCGCAGCCCAACACAAATATCAGGGCGAAGAGGCTTCGGGTTTGTGTGTTATTCAGTGACATGTGGCTAAAAGTACACATTGGAGGTGACACAGTTCTTCAGAGCTATCGCCTTACTGTACCTCGTTGGGACTGGCTGGCATTGAAATAGGCTCCCAGCTGCCAACGGGTAGTTTGTCACCGGCGTTGGGAAGTATTCGATAGCTCTCTGAGCTTGAAGATAACTCTGTGAATGAATCAACCAGATGCCCCCTGCACTAGGGCTTTTACAGTGTCAATGAACAGAGGAGGTGTGTGTACTCATGTGATGACAAAGGTGTCCAATTAATTCCATACACAATTCTACATACAATTAGATATATACATATCAATAAATAAAATAAATAGTTTTTCAACCAAGGTAGGTCCTTGACTGTTTCATTTGGGGAAACCATCAGTGGACATACTTTTTACCTCCTCTTACTGACACAATCGACATCAAATTTTTCACATAATGGACAACTTCTTGGTGCAGGAAGAAAAGAAGCCCTGACATTTTTCTCGCACAAAACGAGTCATGCAGGTAGGAATTAAAATGCTGAGGGCTGAAAGGACGCTGGAATTTTTCTCCACAGCCATCAGCCAAGCTGCAAGGTGAGTTGTTTGTTGCTCTTCTTCAGTCAGCGCAGCAGCGCGTCCCTCTGTGCGCGCCTGGCCTCGCCCCTCCCACCCTCTGCCTCAGCTCTCCTCTGCCTCACCGATAAAGCGCTTTTCGTCCAGGGAGTCAGCACTTGAGCGCATTCCTTGACGTGGAGGCTCGCGTACCTCTCCGAGGATTCGATGAGATCGTTTGCATCTGTTTAATGCGCCCATTAGTATTATTATTACTTTTTTTCCTCCTCTCTTTGAAAAACAGAGTGCGCGCATGGAAAACTAGGCGGTCTGGAGTTAACATCAGTAAAGTGATCTACTGCGATAACAACTCCAGCGCCGCTGCGCTCCCGATTTATCCGAAGTTACGGGTAAGACTTTGCTTCTTTTACTCAAACCGTAAAGAAAAACTCTGGATACGCTATGATCTTTAAAGCTGTAAACCGATGATCGGTTGACACTTGAACAGAAATCGTGCGGGTGAATTGGATACAACTTAAGGAACATCATCGATTCATTTAAGGAACTGATTGAAAGTCCCGTTTCTCCGGTCTGATTTCTCTCTTTTTGACAGCATTCGTTGCCAGTCATGTGTTTTCTTCATGGAAAAGCGTAAAAATGACCAATCTTTTGCGCAGTGTGCAACTTGTTGATTTTGTGTCTTTTCCGCCCTGGCGCTGTGTTATTGGAGGTAAAACATAATTGGCTGTTCGGGTGCCAGTAATGTTTCAGGTCCACAAATAATGACAGTAAAAAGAAAAACGTGTTCCTCTCCATTCTGGAAATGCGTAAAACGCCAGCTCGCGCGCGGCGCGGATGGAGCCGTGGCGGCGGTAATGAGGTGGGCTGGTGTGGGACCGCAGGACGCCGTGCAGCATGCAGGGACAGAGCCGAGAGTCTGGACCGCACCGAGCCCTGCTCACCGCAGTGGACAGCTGTTTTTGGAACAGCACGAGAGATCGTTCCACCACACAAAGCTCAGCTGAACACGCGCGTTTATAGGATCTCAAGGAACAGAATAGTTAGGAGAGGTCAAATTAGAATTGTTTGAAGTTGTCCATTTATGGTAGTTTAGGTGAAAATGATCTAAGATACAAGTGTGTTTGAAAAGTCCCCAAACCAAACAGGATTGTGAAGGAAGCCTGAATAGAAACTCCTCAAAACAATGGGAAATATGTTGAGACTTTATCAGACCACTACATAACACAAACCCCATTTCATGCATGACTTACAAGAATATTAAATTCTTCTTGCCAAGTTTCAGTCATAAGCATGATCGGTGGTACACTGCAATTTCAAAGATGTCCATCACCCAGTGCTACCGTTTTACAAAGGACCAGACCCCTTTACTCCATAACTGAAAACATTTGCAGGTCCCACAGCTCAAAAACGTGACTACTTCAGTCATTTGACATTTTGTTCAGGATGCTTCTGGAGAGGTGGATTAATGACAGAGGTTCTGGGATGTGAGGAAAGATAAACACTGAAATTAAACAAATGTCCGTTCCTTGCAGCAAGTGTGCAGGACGGCAGTGAGTCATGAGGTCAAATTCCTTAAAGATTAAATCTCTGATTGACCTACTCCACTCTCTAAACTAACATTCAATAAAGTGACATGACTCTACATGTTTAGAATAATCACTCTTCTTAAAAGGGAAGATACAAACAACTAAGTGTTGGAATGATGTGAATGACTTCTGCATTCTGTATCATTGAAATCCAACAACCCAATCAAATCAAATCCAACAACAGTACAGCCAGGCGTTTGCTGTAAAATGCAATGTTTCATCCATGTAAGAACAGTGGTCTGAGCCCAGCTATTAACCCATCACAAATGCAATGCTCGATTCACCACCATGGGTTTCCTCACAAACTGTCATTATGGTATAAGAAGCGCTCTCATTGACAATATGTAATTGTTGCAATCTGTGTGTGTTAGGCCACCAGACATAGCGGAGCAGCCACAGGAGGCCAATTACCCCTCCTAATGTGGAGAACTTAAAGATACACACAGCAGCACAGGCGAGTGCTGAGGGACACGGCTTGATAGAGTAAAGATGTTTTTAACAATCTGTTAGGATGCGGACACTTTTCCCTTGACTCAATGCAGCAAACTGTTGTGTTAATAAAAGTAGCTGCCGACACACAAACTTCTCTCACAAGAGGGAGTGGAAAAAAAGTTTGAGATGATCAAAGATTTGCGAAAAAGGAGGGGACCACAGTAACTGAGGAGAGCAAAGTTCCACCTGCATCTCCTCACCTCTGGTGTAAAGGTCTCATTCCAGCTTGTTGGCACTTAGGTAAAAACCTGACGGCCGTATGTGCACAACAGTAGAGTCACACATGAAGAATGATTCCATCATTTTAATTCCCCTTTGTGGACTAGAAGAAAAACTAATGAGAAGAAGCTCTTTGCCATAGAACCTGTTTCATATAATGAAGCACAGGCCCGCCGTCACACTACTGTGACAGCGATGTTGAAAGCACATCACGCATCCAGGGCCGGTCAGCAACATTGTGTCAGCATGTACTTTTATCTATTATTCTTTTTACAAAATCAAGGCTGGCATTTCGACATCTCTGCCAAAGAGCTTGGGAGGAAAAGAGCTCTGATGTCTAAATCGCTTGCAGTACACGACTGGTAGATGCTTTGTACGTTGTCAGTTTAAACATGACTGAAAGAACTGTTGAACATCCCACCGCAGCATTTTGACTTTGGTAAATTGACTTAACTACAACAGCACAGGTCAGTTTCTATAAAAAGCTGCCTCGTCCCTCTTCATGCTATTGGAGAGCTCCGTTTTACACCAATTAGGGCAGTGCCTGAAGCATCCCACCTTCTACATCAGAGGGATTAGAGGGTTAAAAGTCAGGTGCTAAGGCAAAGAGGCCGGGGGAACGAGGAGAGGAGCGAAATGGGAAAGTGGAGGAAGCAAAGAACTAGAGGGGGGCACTCTCGCAGCAGGCAGGGAGAGGGGAGGCGACAGGGCAGAAAGTTGGAATAAGGCTGTCATGTGTGCATGTGGATGACTTTCTCAAGGTAATTTCTCAATACCATTAGCAAGAAGTAAAAGCTATTTTATGCCACAATTTAAGGCTTCAGTTAAGCCCTCATCGACCCTACCACACCCCCAGCGCAGCAATGCAGGAGGAGGTTGTCCATGGCTGACAACCGACAGCCAGAGCTGCTCCTTATAAGAAACGTCTTGAATAAAACCCCCAGCTTCAAAGGCCTCGGCCTCAAACATCAGTGCTGAACCAGCGGTATGTGAAGGCAAACCCCAGCCCGTACGCCTGCCAAGCTAAATTGAAGAAGAGCTCGCCGATGCAGCCAAATGATGCGTTCAGAAAAACCACTTCAAGACTTGCATAAATATACACACAGATGCAAAGGGATGTGAGAGCTTTGGAGTGGCCCAGCTTGAGCCCAAACCCCAAATAACTGCTGTCCTCCGTGTCCACATCCTCACAGAGACACACACGCTTGTGTTCAACCTTTACAGGTCTGCCTATCACTTAACCCTCAAGCTTTACATTTTATTCTGACCCGTAACCATTTATTTACCCTCTCAGTGTAGATGGAAAATCTGCAAGCGGCCATAAAAAAAATTCCCCCAAATTCCTATGAAGTAGTGAGGGACAGAGGCAGGATAAAGAGGATGCTCATCCCAGAAAGCCACCACAAATTGCTGCATTTCAGTGGGCCAGTAAAAAAAGAGAAACAACTCTTAATCTCAGGTTGTAATTACTTCTGGCCAGCACTGTAATTAGGCGATGAGCCTTGAACCAAATCATACTGGGCATGAGCAGACCAAGGGTGTGCACACACACACACACCCACCCACATATGCCTGTATCATCTGACCAAAATCAAAAGCGGAAAAGAAAACTTTCCCCCTGACTCAGCCATTACTAACTATTGGAAATGACATCAACGAGGATATTACTGTTTATGACACGATGGCAATAAAGACACACACTGCCCGGGCCTGTGTGTATATCTGAGAGTTGCTGTGTGTCTTCACCATCAGGTCGCCACGTGTCTGAGAGCATCGATATCATTCCCGCAAACTTTCATGTGGGCACATCATACATGCAGGCACGTACGCGCAGAGCGGCTCACTTTCATTGTGCCGGTCAGCCTTTTTGTACCCCCGGCTCGGCTTTTCTTAAGGTCTATTTCAGTCACAGCTGTGGTGGCCCAGATAGTGCTGTTATCTGGTTCTGTCCTTAAGAGTTGAGAGGGCTGGAGGCAGTCTGTGCATGTAAATAGGTGCACGCATATCAGAATGCCACTGTACAATTACCCGAATCTTAATCAGTCAACACGGCAGTCGTCAGGCAGGACGAGGTGACAGTTCCACAAGTCATGGCTTGTCATCAGAACAATGTTGAGCAACAGGAAGTCTAGCAGCATCAGACATCTTAAACAACACAAAACAAACTCGTCTCTGTTGATCCAACATGTCTTTGGACTTGTCTTTGGTTTGGACTGATACTCTGAGTTGGAATTTGGGCAGACTTCGCTGGAGCTCTCCTGCATACTAAGACGGAGCCATATGGGAAAGGAGAACGGTGACGACATGGTATTAGGAGCTGGAAAGATGAAAACAGAGAGAGAAGGAAGGTGTTATTGGACAAAAAACCTGAAAAACACAAGCACTTCTGAAAGGGGGAAAAAAGCAACAGACTCATTTTAAAAAAAGCTCCTTCTGAGGTATTTTAGGATCCAAATGAAAAGAGAGTCCTTCAGAAGCTTAGTGGTAAAGATGATGTGCATCTATTTTGAGTGTTGAGTTCCACTTTGAAAGCTAAATATTTACCCCACAGTCAAGGGATTGTCTGAGAGGCAGTGACCTCGAGAGACTGACCACAGCAGGGTCAGCACACTTGTCCTCAAATTTAGCCGTGACTACCCAACATGGCAACTCACCCACCAGCAGGCACACATAATTGCTTTTACTTGCACAGATAGCAAAATGTATGCAAATAAGCACACACAGAAGACTAACGCTTTTGTGCATTGGTCTAAAACCACTCCAGCTGAGAAATAAAGGAACAAATCACTCAACACAGGTCATTGGGCCAAATAACAGGCGATAAGACATGTTATCGTTTTAAATGCAAAGTGAAGGGAAGCCTCAGGTGTTACACAAACAGGTACAGCACGGCATGTAGTTTCAAAGTCAGGCTGTCCACAAACTGCATGACTCAGAGCTCAGGTATATGAAATATGGCTTAAATGTTATTATTAGAAGAAGAGTCAGTCCAGAAAATGCAACACAAAGAGAAGTCTAGAGAATTTTTATGCCGTACAAACCAAAACCAAAACCAAAAAAAAAGGCTAATTATCTCTGAAAAAGTTCTGCGACCACACATTAAATCAATTAAATAAAAATGAGAAAAATCTGCTACTAGAAAGAAATGCAGAGCAGCTCTTGGCCAGGCTTCTCCCACTAATAAAACATCCATCGAGTGGTCACTTTGTGTTTGGTTTTTCCCCCAAACCGACTCCTGTTTATGATTCCATAACCACGCTCAAAAACAACATTTTAGATTAGTCAATGCTTTATTTATAGAAAGCAGCAGCATCATGAATGCACACACAGAAGGCTGAGTGGTTGTGGCTATTGACACGCTACTCATTAAAACCAAAAAATATGACCAGTTTGTGCCATGCCAGTTTATATCATAAATTCAAAGACGGTATGGGCTTAAGAAAAGTGACTTGCTGTGGTGCGGTAGAACAAACACAATTGAAACACTAAATAAGGAAAAACCCAGAGACAAATGTTCCATTTACTAAGAAATAACTCTGATTCCAGTCAATACTTTGAATCTGTGCAGAAATATCAATAAATCCATCTTGTGGTTATTTCTGACAAGATTTTTTACACTCAAAGGGTGAAACTGAATTAACATTTTCGCATCACTGCAGAAACTGGGCCGTAAAAACAATGCAACACACTGTATGGGGGCATCGTGTTTAAGTCACCGTTTAAAAACGTACACTCATTCATGCCATGACTGATGGGCTGATAGCACGAGACAATGAGTTGACAGAGTGGAGAGCCGTCGGCCAGCATTCTTTCTCCTGAGCTCTGTCATTCTCTTGTGTTGCCAAACAGCCCGCCGGTGCTCAGCATGCTCCTGTACTCAGCTGGAATCTAACCAATTAACAGGAAAAAAGCTTCCTGTTTTGACTGTGTGCCATTAACAGTGCATGATGGTGTGGCTGGATTCCAACTAAGCAGAGAGAAAAAGCAAATCAAGCACATGTTGAAACATATCTTTAGTAAAAGGTGCTACTGCTTTGCTTCCTCTAGGAAAAGGATCCCTAAAGAGGAGTCAGAAAGACCGAGTGGGAGAAAAGCAGGATGCTCCTTTAGTAGGTGAGTGGAACATTTTGCTAACCAAAGTTAGAGGGCTTACTGCTAATCAATCTGTCAATATGGTTATGAGTTACTATAGAAACATGCCGTTTATATGAGAAAAACAGTTTTAAGTACAACAGGGTGCATTGCTAAGTTCATATTTCTGTTGTGTCAAATTTTTTAATGAATATTTGCACCAACAAGCCCAAACCAGCGGTGCTTGGCAGTCTTTACCGTGCAAATCGTAACTTACTCTGTTGTCTAACACTTATTGGCCTGTTAACTATATTGGAAAGAAAAGCAAATGGTCCACTTTACACGGACACACCATGTATTACAATGATGCGGGGTTCGTGCTGGGGTACAGACAAAGGGAAGCATGAGGGAAATTTTTATTAGCCGGGCTGTAGAAGGTGGGAAACGGTCCACCATTGTAATTATATGCGGGCTGAGTGTTGAGCTTGATAGAGCTCATTAATGTGGTCCACATCACAGCGCTGAGAGGCATGTTTTTCATTATATGTGCTTCTTATGTGCTATCCTATTGCTAACGACTCACACCAAATGAGTATAAAAGCCCCACAAAGGAATTGTGCTGGCTCATGGGATGATTTTGTGAGCAAACATGAGCAGATCATTTTTTTGTACAATAACTGGCTAAAGAAGAGCCAATGCTTACAGTCCACACAATATTGGGGCCTCTTAGAAGTCCCTTCTGTAGTCCCGTACTTGGCTGAGCGCTTCTTCAAACGTTTGCTTGAAGTGGTGAATATATGAATGAGAGAGCAATTTAAATGCAAAGCTGTGCTGCAGCCCATGTGGCTGCAGCCCATGTTTGGTATTTTTTTGGCTGTCACTGCATGACTGATCCTCTGTTCAACACGGCCCTACTGACCTGTAACCCTCCGACCTGCCTCCGTGCTGCGTTGGCTGTCAGTGAGCTGTGATGGGGATTGTGTGGAGTTGAAGACATCCACACACACATGCCAAGTCAGCTTTAGCCTCAGGATGCCCATCGCTGCTCTTGCTAATTGCCCCAGTTCTCCTCCACTTCTCTTTCTGCCCCAACCCCTGTTTTTCAGAGTGGGGACGCTGTTCAGCTATTGATTTTGGACATAATACCTGTCCACATTCCTCAGCTTTTGTGTGTGTTGTATCTGCCTGCTGTAAACTATGTGCCATTCAGGCAGTGCTTCGACGTCAACACTGTCTCTGTTTCTGAAAGCGCTGATATGCATTCATCTGAGTTTGAGAAAAATTTAATTTCAAATTCCCTTCCTAAGACGTACACGTTAAATGGAACATGTAGTTCAATGTTTAAAGTGAAGAACAACATTAGTTTGACCTTAGCAACTGAGTGGATTTCTTCTTAACTTCCCTGAAACGGCAGAGTCAGTTAATATTACCAACTAAAACAAACACGTCAGAGCAAATAAGGGTGTTCCAAGACATTTCTGCACTCCAACTCTACCGCACACTTACACAAACTCCTTGACATTAGATTATTAAGCCAGATCGCACACATTTGTGCAAACACACAGGTGTGCATACAACTCAGGAATCTGCTTCACCCCCCTGATGACATCGATGAGCGGATGTGTCGATGGGGGCAAACAAACAGGTCCCTCTCTAGACAAATTACTGTTCACTGCTAACAAAGCATCATTCATTTCATCTGGCTGAAGGGGTGATGTGCACACATATTTTACACAGAAGACGATCTGGGCCTGAGGCCATTCACAGAGACCATATCTTATCTCTTTATAGTCTGTGAAGTGTCTTAAACATTTGCAAAGATTCTTCTAAAAATCACAGCATGTGTTTTGTGTTTGCTCTCACTTCATCTGCTACACATGTGTTTTATTTTAGATATCTGATTGAATTTCATCATTTGTTTCTATCAGTTTTCATTCGATATGGTTCTTTACAACATAAGCAGATATTTCTGGGAAATATGTGTAACATGAGACATCCGTGTTATATTGGTCTTGATGGTCCGGTAAAATACGCAATGATTTCTATAGACTTTCAGCCAGAGTCGTAGTCAGCAGATGTTAGCCCTGGATTGTTTGTTGCAGCACCCTAAAGGGAGAAGTAGGATCACATGTTTAGTTCTTCCACTTCTATCACTACTCATGCCTTGTTTGGGCTAAATATGAGGGATGCTCAGGCAGTGCAGAGCAGCTGCAGGCGTACTGTAAAAGGTTAGTGTTGATGTCTTAATAGACTGTTGTTGACAGAGGTCTTTACATTCCTTAAGATGGCATGGTACCTGAAGCAGTCAGAGGTTGGTACAGACAGAATAAGCAGGCAAATGCCATCATGTTTTTCACAGCACACTCTCAGTTATCCAATCCCCTTTCAGGTGGATATTCTGATATTCTGAAGTGTTTTTTTATAGACAAAAGTTACAAAAATAGTTTTTTTTAAAAGTGCTTAAAAGCCGATCTTAGTAGAAAAATTATATTTTAATAAAAGAGACGAATGTCTCGGTTCAGAAGGTGATTGCAGGGTACCTGAGGCCATGGAGGAGAGCCTTGGGGGTGGGGAGAAAATACACCGCCTGACTGCTGGTTTGCCAGCCAACCTCCCCCAATGCTGGCCAAGCACCAACACAGCCATAGTTTCACAATAAATTCCTTTGTGACACTGTAATCAGCACTAGTGATCTCCAGTTCACATTTATCTTGTGTGTGTGGCACATGTCTGAGTTTGTTTTTTCTTTTAAGGAAAAAGACTGCAGGGCAGAATGACAGGAAAAAAAAAACTCAAACGGTAACTTATCGAGAAGGAGGGGTGTGTGGGGTTGAGTGCCTGAAAAACAGGTACAATGACTGCCTTTAAATGGAGGTTTTGCCTCAGAAACAGTGGACCGTTGACATTTGTAGCGTATTATTTAGTTAATGCCACTGATAAACAATGACTAATGAAGGTTGCACTGAAACCACTGACGTGTGTGCCCAAGCCTCAAATGCCAAATTCAACACAAAAGTGTCATTTTTTGTCTCTTCCCAGTCTACAAGTGTCTAATGCCAAATAGTCATTTCTTAAAGTAGCAGAATGGCGCTTTTATCTCTCTCAGTGTTGCCAATTACCATCGCCAAAGCCTTGAAGCTCTCCAAAAAAATGTAACAAACACTTGAAGTTAGGCCTTGCAGGGTTGTCGTGGCAGGAGGAGGATACATGCCTTCAGTGAATTCCACTCATGCTCTTGTCATGAATAAACCTGAGTGAAAGACAAGAGGTGAGCAGAGTGCGAAATGGCCAAACGGATAAGTGTAGGGAAATTTGTAAGCCGCCTAATAGTGGTGATATTTCCTCATGTTGAAACACCACTTCTTGAAATCCAATGCAAATACTTTGATATGGTAACAACAACATGCTGAAATGACGAATGGAATATGATCCTGACACAAAAATGAAAGAGTGACCAGGCTGACGGCTCAGGCTAAGGGTAGTATGACGTTCAGCCAGTCAAACTGGCATTGGGTTTCCATGTTGCTTCCTATTCATTTCTGATTTGACTTATTGTAGTATCCTTTCTACAATTTTCTCATGTAGTTTTTGAGTTTATGCAACTCCTTTAAATGAATCCTTTGGTGAAATAACATTTAGAAATTATGACAATGGAGAATTTCTCCACTGCAAAGTAGGCATAACTATAAGAAGAACAAGTAAGAAGTATAACATGTGTCACATCAGACGGATAAAGATCACATTGGCCAGAAGACAAACCAGCATTGTGGTTATGTCAAAGCTGGAGTGAGTGTGCAAGGCAGAGTGTCGGCGTGTGCATTAAAGCAGGCTTGTGCCAAACTGATAAAACTGGTCCTTCCAGCCACTTCAAACCCCACACACACACACGCACACAAAACCCAAATAAAACCCTGCCTACGGTGCTTGCTTAGAGACCAGGCTCCTTTAAGCAGTTAAAAGACTGCAAAAGGTGTTTTTTTAACTACCCTATGTTGCTGCAGATCTGTTTGAGAGAGCTTTGCAAACACTGCCAGAAAGCACAATACATTTTTTTACTCTGGCTCGAGGCACAGACAGCAACACACAGGAAATGAAGGAGCGAGCCAACACGAGGACAAAGTCCAGCTTTTTGACGCGGGGATGTCACATTTACTGTTTCCTGGTGATGTAGAGCTTTGGCCTCCACCGCCCGTGACCTCTGCAGTGTTGTGGTTTGCTGTTGTGTCTGACCGAAAAAAGAGGAGAGAAAGACACGAGGCACAAGACTGACAAAAGCTGTGGGTGTAAACACCACTTTGAGAAAACAGATCAAAGCCCAGGTTGTCAGCGGTGGACTGGAGTCCTTTGTGTCTGTGTAAGGCGAGTGTCCTGTGGTGCAGATCCCAGGCAGATGTGTGCGCATCTGAGGGAGAAACGCGACTGTGGGTTTCTGTCCCAAAGGGTCACAGGGCAGGCTGTGCTGACGAAAGAGTTTTGTCAGCGCAGAGACAAAACAAGTGGACACTGTGCAGAGCGAGACAAAAAGAAAAGGGGAGAAGAAGAGTCGGTCTCTGCCCGCGCATCCGGTGTCTCTCTTTGGTGCCTTAACTGAAACAAAGTCGGCTCTGGCCTCAGCTGAACCGTCTGTCACGTGCTTTAGTCATAAAACAAAAGGAATGACCCACATTTAATTTTTTGGATGGGGTTGCGGCTGAACTCTGCTCTAAAGCTCAGCGGAGGCAGAGGCAGACAGCACACGTGCTGTTGCAGAAATCCAGCTCTGCTCTGCTCTGGTCTGGTGTGGCTGTCCGGACGCCCACCTCTGTCACTTCCTCTGTCTCTCTGGCACAGGTCGCAGCATTTACGCAGGCACACTCCAGAGGTTTTAGGTTTCACGCTGCCCTAGAGGAACATAGAAAGCACCTGTTGTGTAGATGAGGACTCAGGTGTATATGCGTGTAACTGGAGCAGGGTGTGTACCCATGTCAAACAGGGCCTTTTATCTGTGTGCCGTCTGGGACGGAGCAGAGAACACAGAATTCAGAGTAGAAGTGGAAACACTAATCTGAGCCCGACCTCTGGATTCAAGAAGGCCCTCCGTGCATCGTTTGCTCATAGGCTTTGTTGTCCTTTGGACAGATGCTATCTGACCAGATGAATGACTGTTTGGCTTTGAGGTCTCTTTTGTGACTCTGATTTGTATACATTTTCATAAATCTTTAAGTTTAGTAAATATAATTACATAGTTGTATCACAAAATCAGAAACTGAGCTGCCCCATAGCTAGAGCAAACTCTCAGCTTTTCTAAGTTTTATAGTTCACCTGCCCTCCCATTCACCCATGGATTGTATATTATGTTCTCTTTCATGTCCTCCAGGCTCTAATGGCATTACTTCACACCGTTCTTATAAGCAGAAGAGATTTATATCATGAATCCTGAGATGAAACACAAAAGCAACCCACTTCACAATATATTTACAGAAATAGCAAAAAAAGTTGAGAAAAACACATTAACTCACAATTCTTTAAAGTTTTAATCCAAAAACAAAAGAAAGTCTGGTAACTAAAACAGATTAGTGCAGTGAATGTGGTTACGCTCACATTCACCATGAGACTGTACAGAGAAATTGAAAAGATTTAGAATGTTTTCTAAGACAGTACTCAGCATCGCAATTAATTTTGGTCAGTAACTTAATGCTGGTACAATGACAGTTGTCCCATCCTATGGCCCAGTTAAGCTGTAGCCATAGCTCGGCTCTCAACTGTGCATGTGACTGCTAACTGACAAAGAGACAATTCAGCTGTAGCCTTTCAAGTGATTATTAGTGCAAATGAGAACGACAAACCTATGCTCTTCTTTACTTGTACCACTGGTGGTGGAGCTGATGTGCATTGGTCAAAATAAAATCAGTTTTGTTTGCACAGCACTTTGGTAGTGGTATGTAGGATTATGGGCTTTCATAGTTCAATAAACATTTAAATGATTATGATTGGCTTTAAGGAGAGAGAGGAGAGAAGTAGTAAAATCCATTCTGACTAAATATTACTTTTTAAATTTGGGAAATAATCTATTTTAGAGCTAAGAAGACTATTCTTTCTCAACTAATGCTGTACATCCCAGCCTTGCAAGTAACAAAACTCAAGTTTCATTCCTCTCATGCTTCAATCCCATTATGGTCACTCATCTAACAAAGTTAAACTGGTACAACCGGCAACGAAACACCACATTAGAGACACATTAGCTCGTCATAAAAAAAGATGAAAAAATTCTCTGCATTACATGCATACCAACAATCTTACATTAACATAGCTAACATTTTCATATGCCTGTTTGTAAAACATGCGTCTGCTGCCTGCACACACTCACTCCGTTCTCTCCTGTGCCACTTCTTATGTCATCTTTTCATCCTGAGATATCCACAACACTTCTGTTCCTCTTTTCAATTCTCCCTTGACCCGCTTATCATGTTGATGAATAACCCCACTAGAGTGTGGATAACAAGGTCCAGCTGGTGGCATGGACTCACCTGATGGGGGAGAGAGATAGGATGAGCTTGGAGATCTAAACTCTGTCAGCTCTATCACTTGTGTACTTATCTTGTGATATATACCTAATGCCCATATCACAAGGCCTGGATTCTTAGAAGATAAGGGAAGGGACCCTTTACTAGGAGGGAAGTTTTGTCCCTTCTTGCCACCTGGCATAGTGCACCCAGTTTTGCATCTGGCTGATTTGTGTCCAATTTGTCCACACTGCCATTCGCCCTGAGGGTGGTCTTCAGCTCTGCGGACGAGACATCTTGACCCTAGGGATTCAATTTCTGATACATACTTCAGTCTCTCAAAGCCAACCCTTATCCATCCTTGTCTCCCTGCTGACACAGACCTGCTCTCATTTGTATTGCATGTGTTTATTTGCTTTTCTTACTTATCAGGAGAAAAGAAAGCAGGGTAAAAAGCCAGCATGACTCGGGGGGAAATAGTTTTTTCCTTATTTTTCCTCTTATTGCCTCTTTCTCATCAAAGCGCTGTCCACGATTTTTAAAAAACTTTTGATAATAAAGTGTGTTAATATAGTCTCTGCTTTGTCATAATTACTTACATTTGTAGTCTTTGTTCTCGCACACATTTTGTGTATAAAGACCAACAAACTTTGACTCACTGCTCACATTCACGGTATCTTTGTCTCAAATGCCAATGAGTGAAGCAAATCTCCCATTTTCAAACACACTCATTGCCTGTCTAAGGAATCAGGAATGTCTCAAGTGCACAGGGGAGAGAAAAGGAAATTACAACTCAAGTCAGAAGGACGAGGGCAAGATGGGCGGGGGATTTCAAGACTTTTCTTTCTATCATCCCTATCCGCCCTTCACCTCTACTCATAGCAGTCAGTCAACACTGTGGTGCAACCTGCATTCATACAACAGTGATCCAACAGCCGGGCCGTATCTTACCCACTGATCCACGCAAGTCACTTGCATTTTGAATGAAAGAAAACAGTGTAATCTAACCGCTCAAGATTCCAGTTTATCTGTGATCTGGCGGTACTCTCTGGCTGTATCCCTCCCTGTCCACCTCCACCAGTCTCCGCTCTGCTGAGTTATCAAATGTGCCTGGCCCAGTTTTTGGGATGAGATCCACTCAAATAAACATTGTGCCCCAGGGCGCTACGATGGAAATACCACAATGAGTTTTGAAGAAAAACATTCTGTGTTATCTGCATAGCTCCTTCTCCTCTCATGGCTGCCTTGATGTTGCGTATTTTGGCTCTGGCCCTTATACCTGCTCTGACCGTGGCATGTTGGACCAAAGAAAAATATTTCATTTTACTTCTAAAGCTTCTTTATTTCAAACATAAAAAATCCTGCCTTTACAAAAAGAGTGAAGGTTAATTCAGTGTTGATCCTCAAAGGGCGTGCTGTTACTTTAAGTATCGTGAAGTAAAACCCAGCTCCCCATAAAAAGTGATGCACAGAGTTAAGACCATCTGCATATGTTCCAGCGTTTGTTTTGACTCTCCCAATTCCACTCATCTCCTGTTCTTCCTCTAAAAGCCTTTTATTTTCCCTTTTTCAGTACACTCATGCTTCTATGCAAGTACACCATCGTCATCCTATTTCATTTACACTTCCATAGATACAGAGGTCTTAACTGACCTAAACTGTTCAAAACAACCCTGGCTGCCCTGTAAGCACAGGACACAGACCTTTATTGATTATTGCATTTTTATTATTCATTTATAAATTATTTTTTCACTTGATAGAAAAAGAAAACAGGGGATCATAGATAAGTAGATTTTAAGGAGTAAAGCATTCTAGCAAAAGAAGGACAATAAATGCCACAACTACGATATAAGGAGATGAAACTCTCCATTCCCCTGTCAGTCGGATCCACAATTAATCTTCTCTTGTTAGATTTATATTTCTTACAATGTGAACTTAACAGAGTTGATTAAAAATTAACTCATTAAACATAGTGAAAAGAAAAAAGTGGTTAATGAATTTGAAAAAACTGCATCTATTCCGATTCTACTGTGTACGCACCGCTTAACGCCTGAGTTGACTTTTTATAGGCAGGAGAGACAAAAGATCTTTCAGAGCTGGCATTGACACCTACTTTATGAGTCACTTGAACAAACTTCCTGGAACAAATTTTGACAAATTATTTTTAGAATTTCATTTGACACTACAAGAGATTTATTCAGAACGTTCTGTGTGTGCTCCATCAGTGTGGAACTGTAAGTCGTACACAGTTGGCCCTTTCAAGGAAGTGTGTCATGAAATAGATAGAAAAACAACTGCACCTTTTAAGGCCTTAAGCAAGCTCTCTCTAGTTAGTATGCCAGACTATGTCTTGAACGCAGGTCATCATAAATGCTGAGAGATGTTTGGAAAGATCAACTGCTGTTTTGCCCCAAACCCTTACAACCTGCCATTTTAAAAAATCTATTTTTTTATAGTTTTGAGCCATTACGTCACAATTGCATAATTCCTATTATAAAGACAAAAAGTATTTTCTACTGACTCACAAAGTAAAGCTAAGGTCAACAGATACAAATTTGTTCTTCCCCCAAGGACGCCTCACTAGATAGTAGAAGATGATAAAGTGCTTCACAGGCTCTTGTCTGCAACTTGTTTCTTCTTTATCTCTCTTCATTCCTCTCCTTTCCATCATCCTTTGAAGTGCTGTGCTGACACACCTCTAGGGCATTTGTTTTATATGGTTTAGATTAAAGTGAAATAGTTTAAAACAAAGTAAAAGTTTAATTTTTTATGGTCAACATTTACCACACACTTGTTTGACATGTATTTAACTGCCTGTGATGTGGTCACATTTGTAAAGATTTTTTGGTGATGACACATTTTTGTTCTTTCGTTTTAGGCTAAGCATGAAGAGTCATAGACTTTACACCATGGAGAACCTGCTCAGTCCAGTGATGCCTTTGCTGATCCTCCTCCTCCTTCCTGATGGCGTCCTTTCCGACAAGTGCCCAAAAGGTTGCATGTGTTCCGCTGCTTACACCGTTCTATGTCCCCAGAGACGCTCTTCTACCATTCCCAGGGAAATAAGCCCACTTACAAAAAGTCTTTATCTGTTTTCCAATGGGATTGAAGGCATTTTACCTGAGCACTTCGAAGGTCTGAATGGTTTGGAAATGCTAGACCTTGGTCAAAATGAACTGACCCACCTTCCAGACAGGGTGTTTGAAACTTTGACATCCTTGAGAAATCTGGATTTGTCATCCAACAAGATAACACACATCTCAGAGGAATCCCTCTATGGAATGCCACTCCTGGAGCGCCTGTATCTGCATAATAATGGCATCAAGACCATCCACCCTGCAGCCTTCAATGGTTTGGAGAATCTGTTGGAACTTAAATTGCAGGGCAATATGTTGACCTCTCTGCCCACCATCTCAATTCCCAGCCTGTTGCTGCTGGACCTGAGACATAATCCTTTATCCACTCTGGGCCCTTCAGACCTCCAGACCCCAAACCTTGAGACACTCATTTTGGCTGATACAAAGCTCACCAAACTGGATAAGGAGCTTGTGCATAATCTGAAGAATCTTCATGAACTGGACCTTTCATCAAACCTATTTGATACTTTCCCACCAGCACTGAAGGAGATCCCAAACTTGTCTTTTCTTAGCCTGGCTAGAAACCCCATGCGTTCTCTAAAGTTTGAGAACCTGCAGGTACCTGGCAACATAAATGAGTTGGACATTAGCAACATCAGTCTACAGGGCCTCCCTGAAGTGTTCCCTCAGCTCTTCCCCCAACTCAGACAACTAGCAGTGGCTGAAAATCCATTCAACTGCATCTGCAGCCTAGCATGGTTTCCGGGATGGGTCAGAGAAGACCTGATACTGGAAAGACAACGGGAAACCCGTTGCCATTTCCCACCAATTAATGCTGGGAAGATGCTACACAAACTGGAGCATAGGGATTTTGGCTGTCCAACCACAACTACAGTTACCACAACTACCGTCAAAACTACTACTACCACCCTCTCTGTTCCGGTAACCAACTTTTCAGCTACAACAAGAGTTATTCAAGTCCCAAGGGCCAGCAACAGTCCAGTTGAGACAGAGGGTCACTTTCCCCTACCCCCTGTCCCTGCATCCCCCAGTAGCAGCAGCATGGACCCAGATGAAAAACTCAATTTCTGTCCCCCTAACACCTGTCTGAATGGTGGCACTTGTCATTTGAACCATCATGGCACAGTAGAGTGTACCTGTCCACATGGTACCTCTGGTATGTATTGTGAAGTACAAAACATTTATCCACCTTTATTGCCTAAAGCTGAACTTCCAAAGGCAACTGTCATTGCAGACCCACCAGACATCCGATGCCATCAAGCAACAGCAACCTCAATCTTGCTTGATCTAAAACGCTACATCAAAAAACGGCCTCACATCAGTGGAATCCGCCTAACCTACAGCAATCTGTCCGGACCAGACCGCAGACCAATTCATCTCAGTCTCCCGGCATCAGAAAAATTCCAAGAGTATAGACTTAGAGGTCTTAATCCCAACTCCTCCTATACAATATGTGCCAGTCCATTAGGTGCACCTAATGGCCTCGACAGTGTCTGCACCGAGGGTCAAACTGCCCCTGGAAGTACAACTGGCCCGCCTGAAAAAATTCTAAGCCAAAAATTAAATCCTATTCTGGTGCCTGCAACTGCCATCTTGCCTCTGCTGGTACTGATAGCAGTAATAGTGGCACTGGTATGCTACTTCCGCAGGAAGAAGGCCAAGGGCCACATGGACCTCGGCTGTGAGCCCTCCCAGCTGGAGCTGGATGGAGTTGAAGATGGCATGGACAATGGGGCGTTGCCGTGCAAACAGCCTGAACTTGTGATCCCTGAACCTGCAGTTCAAAACGGTAGTCTGGAATATGAAGTGTTGTTACTACAAGATCACAGTACATCAAATAACAATGTGTCTCCACACAAGCCTTCTTACTTTTAAAAACTGGCATTGACTATTCTGAAGTAACGGAGGAGTTTCAATTCTTCTGTGCTGCCCCTCCAAATGGAATACAAATAGCAGCAACTGCTGTTTTTAAGTGGTGGAAACTGTATCAGCCAAACAGCAAGGAACTCACTGCCCTTTGACTGTCCGAGTTGACGGTAAATAAGTTAAAAAATGATTTCTTTGGATTTTTGAAATCATTAAAAGTGATTTACTCCACATCTGCGTCATGCTATGACAACAGTCCTCACTGACTTTCATCTATCTTGCTGTGATAATTGAGATGATTTCTTGTCATTGGCTGAAATTTGGAGGTTAAGAGACATTATAAGCTTATGCCTTCCTTTATGTACAGTCTCTGAGCACTGAGGTGGGATTGTGCTGCCTTTCCCAGTGCGGGTAAACAATTTAGTGATTGTTTTTCCTGCTTAGAGCAGCTACCCCAAAGGGATCAGTGCATGCTGTGAATGACTGTTAAGTCACCAATAGAGTTGTGGAGTGGACATGGATGATGTTTATATTATTTTATCTGGATCTAAAGCATTGTTTTGTATGTATGTTTCTGAATATGTTTCTCTTTTTTTAAACTGTACAACATTGTGAATGTTTAAACCCCTCACTACCCTCTCCCCCACCATGTATGACTAACAGACAAAACAGCAGATTAAAATCTTTGAAGATTTAAACTCATTTGGTACCAGTTAAATCAGTCAGAAGGTTTTGCCCCCAGAATCTCAGACAGTCTAAGTAGATCTGAGTCTTGACTGAGTAAAGACTAAATCCCCCTTCTTAAATGTGAAGCCCTCTGCATGGTTTGCCACCACAAAGGCAGAAGGGAAGCAGGATTACAACAAGGTACAGAGGGAATTAGCTGATTGAGCCCCCTCTAATTTAGTGTTCAGTGCACTTTGTTTCAACCATTTTAAAGTTAGTCTTTTGGTAAATACTCAAATGATTACACAATGGCAAAAGAGATCTTAAGTGGCTCTATTTATTGTTTATCTTCCCTGTAAGGGAAATTGCGTTATCCAATAACCCCGGTTCAAAAACTTCATATTATTTGGCTAAGCTTAAGACAAAACAGGCAAATGAGTACCGGATGTGTGTTGTGCTTCACATGAGCAAAAAATGATCCTTAATGATGTATAATGTACAATCTTGTAACCATCCAGGCGATGGAGACGGGAGATGCATAAATGATCAACATCCATGTTGCTGTGTGGTGAACCGGGAGAATACGGCACAAAGAAGCAGTTGACTGTGTGCATATGTAGATCCCTCAACTTGCTTTCCCGATAATGCAATTGCATGTCCTGTCTTGTGCAAAGACCTGTAGACATCTAGCTACTATCAGTTACTCTCTTAATATGCCCAAATGCCAAAGAGTACTTACAGCCCCAACAGGTCTGCCTTAGGGGAAACCCAAAAAAGATTAATCTGTGAAAGCCTGTAAAGTTACCCACAGTATTTCCACCACATAAGTTCCATGCCACAAAATGCCTTCAAATCAAATGATGCAACTGGAATATTTGATTGTAAAATAAAATACATTGAGGATCACCAAAAGTATTTTCGATGTGAACATTATTTTTTCCCTGTTTATTTGGGGAAGTTGTTATTTGTTGTTCGTTTTTTATTATTATTCTGTGAATGCATTTGTATAAATTGAAAACTCATATTATCAATAAATGAACATTCAAAACCAAAACGGAACCAGTTATATTTCTTCTTCTTTTCTTACTCACTATTCATCTGGAAAACTACAGAGAATATATTGAGAGACAAGCTAGGTGGGAATGTGGGGGATGTGTTTTCCATTAACTTTTCTTTTAAGCCATCACTCAGCGGGGTGAGGGAGCAATAAAACAAAGGGCAGCACAGGAGGAAGAGTAAAAAAAAACGCAAACACAGGCATACATCAGTTATGAAGAAATTGCCATTGATTAAATCATTTGTGTAACTTGGAGAGAATCTCTGTGTTTCAGTATCAAGAAGTGTGAAAATGTCCAAGACAAGCTCTCTCATCACATTTTAGAAACACTGTTGAATAAAAAATCAACTTTTGACCCACTAAAAACAAGAAATGCAAAAAGGTTCAGACTGAACATCATCACTCAGGGGTTCCTGGTTGTAGACAAAAAAAAAGTGGTCATGCCATTACTGAAAAATTGAATTGCCAATAGCTCAAGAAGCTTAAAAAGTATTTTGAAATATTTATTTTCTCTACACACAGATAATATTTGTGATGGAAAGAAAAGATTATTTTTTTAATACATTAGTATTAAATTATTTTAGCCTGAAGATAAATTGACTGATTAGTCCATTCTTCCACTCCATAAACCCCACTTAACACTCTAGGGTTGCCTGAACTTGCCTCTAATGTCAACAGTTCATCCAAGCGACAACTCAGTTCAACAATCAATCACTGAGCGTGTGCTTGCCTTGGTGTTGGCATCCCCCTCCTACCTCACTGTGACCGCAGGTTAAACAGATCAAACTGAAATCATGAAGAAAAAAGGGAGTGCAGAAAACTGACAAAGAAGAAGAAACACGAGTGCTGACCGGGATGGCAAAGCTGCAGTTTAGACACAATTCATTAAAGGAATTACTACAAACAGAAGCTAATTGCAGATCACAAGGAGCTCAGTAACTTATAGACACATTTATGGTGGATATATAGCTGATAGTCTCACATGTAACATTTGAAGACATTTGCCAAGAACATTTGTGCAAAAGTTATACTTGGAGAGAGAGGCTAATAAACAACAAATGTTTAGTGACTCTCTTTCCTCTCCTTAGACATTTTTATGACTGTTTCATGTCAGTATGATAGGTTGGGGTTGTACCTCACCAGCAGTGAGCTGGAGGCAAAATGGAAATAAAGACCATAATAAAAACCACTTAACAACAAAATAATGTTGTACATGGATTTAAACTTTGTGAATGACTCACCGCACTGAGGCAAATGAGTGAGCATTGTTTGCAAACCCAAATAATAAACAGGCTGACCACCCATGTGTTTTATAGGTGGGATGCTCGTAGGGGGATCGATGCAGGATGCACAGGCAAACGCAAAATAAAAAAGTGTGCATACACAGGCCCATAGCTTGGAGCTGTTGTGCAATGTACCACGCTAACAACACAAACACATAAAACAGCACTACTCCTCTCATCCAGACGCATTTATTCCAGTTTTCTCAGAGATTAAATGCACTTGGGACTGAACAGTGGAAACAAAACACCCCCTGAATGCCAGCAGGTTTGCACTATTTCGCTTTTCTAAAACAAATTTTTTCATGCTGAAAGATGAATAGTTCTGTGCTCCTACTTCTGCATAATCATGCAATTATGTCGTGTAAATAGATGTATAAATATGAGAATTACAGAAGATGGAAGAATGCACAATAGGGAAAAGGTGCATGCTTGTTTTTGTAGCTCTCAATGGCCCTGAAACTGAAAATGTTAATGTACTGTATGTGACACAGGGAGGGAGAACAAAGGCTTTGTGTGTGCTGCCTGTCTTTTCTCTCCTTTCCTTTCATAGAACAATTCTTCTTTTTTCTTCCTGGCTTTAAGAGAAACCTGGCCCCTGGAAGTCAACTTTGAAGCTCATATTAAGCCTGTGCTGCTCAATGCTCCCTCTTGTAGTTTTGAGGGACCCGTTTTCACAATTATCATTGGAAAAAAAAACTTTTTTTCTCTCCTCTTTCCTCAAGAATGGTAACAACTGCTTCTCCAACCTAAGTAAATCTTACTTACAGCTTGCAGTTGGGGACAAAAACATTGTTCAACGTGATGATGCTCTGTACTCCAAACCCAAAATGAATGTTGTACTTCAGGAGAGAACTACAATTAAGAAGGATGAACAACATTTATAAAAAATATCCTCAAACACCAATCACATGTTTCAGTATTTGACAAGGAATATTCAAATTATTCCTGATTTGTATTTACATTCTGCGTTGCTTTGCGCTTAAAAAAATACAATCATTGTAAAACAGAGTGGAAGAGTGGAAAAGGGAAGAGAAGAGCTGAGTAGAGAAAACAAACCACTACTTTGTTTTTGGAACCAGATTCTCTGGCTCCAGTTTTTGGCCCTCTGCTTGTTTCCTTTTAGTGCTCAGTCAAACTCTCCTGCACACATTCCACCTTCCTTCCATCTAAATCTTCATAAAGTACTAATAACAGATGAAGGGTGGTGTGCCACTGGTTCCTCTCATGCCACGCAGCTGCCAGGCCGTGCCAGCAGATGGCCAAGACGCAGCTCGAGCAAAACGCAAGAGGAGGGGAAAGATGAGAGGTTAGAAAGAAAGAAAAACAGGAAAAGAAAGCGAATAAAGAATTTGACTTTGGTTAGTTCCTGGCAACATGCATTAAAAAGCACACATGCAGCTCATTTCACTTGCAGTTCGGAGGATTATTAAATATAGGAACAAATGCAGTGCAAATATTTTCTTCCATCCATTCATCCTTCAATCCATCTATTCGTCCATCAGTTATTTTTCTATGCCCGCTTTATCCGATTCAGGGTTGAATCCCTGAAATTACGAAAGGCATGACATAAAAGCCCTTCTTAAACCAACCACTGATTATTGACTTTATCTCTCAATTCAGGGTTGATTGAGAGATAAAGTCAATAATCAGTAGTCGGTTTAATATGTGCTTTCATGTCATGTCTCTCGTAATTTACCACCAGATATAAGTGTTTGGGACAAATATATTCTTGAAAACTTTTTAAGAAAAATTATTGCAAGAAGCAGCCATCCAAATTAATCCTAATAATAATCGTATACACACATTTGTGAGATCTAAATCCCACACAATTTTGTACCCTCATCTTCTGTTGTGGCTCTAGCAGCTAACAAACCTTCAAAACCTGGTAAAGTGACTCCTTGCATGTCAGGTGCTCTGTGTAGATTGAATGGACCAAAGGCACCTAAACATACAGGGTTTAATTTTCAGTTTGATTCTTGCAAACATAAGAGGTATGTTGCAGCCAAGAACAGGCACCATCCACCATTTCCTTGAAGCTGAAATATATTTTTGCTGATTAAAATATTTATAGTTCAGGTCCTCGCATAAATCTCAGCGGATAAAACACTGTATAAAGTTTTCTCAAATTCAGTTAGGACATTCCGCCATGACCGTGATTTACAGTTTTGGGTTCTAGAGAGAAAAATCAAGATGTTCAGTCCAGGTGTCATCCGGTCCATACGTCTTTTACCAGGCATCCTGTGGTTTGATATTTTATAAAAAAGTAATTTGAACGGCATGGAGAGCCAGAACTCGTTTCTCCTTTGCTCTGCACCAGAAAAGTATAAACACACCCCGTCTTCTAATGTGACATTTTCAAAGCTTCCTAGTGATAAAAAACGGCTGCACAGTGGTTTCATGTGAGTAGAATTGTTGTTGTTTAAAATAAAGCAAGTTTTTTAAAAGCTAAACATAATTGAGGAAACCGAAACTAGAAGGTTCATCCCATGAAAGTAGAAGAAGCAGCGGTGGATGCATAAAATAGGTGAACCTGAAGTGGCGGGAGGATGATGAAATGTGGGGTGGAATGTTTGCTGTTGCTGGCCAAGCCCGAGTAGGGCCACACGATAAGAGAAGGAGTTAAAAGAGCACCTAAACAGAACTGCCTGCCACCATTGGAAAGCAACTAAAGTGTGTTTCTCATTTCAAAAGAATGGAGTAATAGTGTGTGGGAATCTAATTCATTCTGAAAAGCATAAGCAAATGACTAATCTGGTATTATTGAAAGGGAGTGGAGGCAGTGGGGAATGGAGAGGTTATTCAGGGTGAGAAATATCTAAGTGGGTTTAAGGTACTATTGCATATTGGTAAAGACTGTTCTATTTGCATGCTTGCCAAAAGCATAAAATCCAAATATTCCCTTCAAGGCTGGCAGATGAAGCTGCTAACTCAAGCATAGGACCATCCTTTAAAATGATCACATCCAATCACTCTCAGAGAAAAACATGGAAAGACACACTTTCTTGTTCTTTCTCTCTCATGACTGTAAGAGAGATCCACAGTTGCAAAATTACAAGGGGATTTACAGGAAGTTTGGAGATAAAGTTCAAGGCCAGATGACAAGACCCTTAAACACTTTTTCTATCTGGTTTTCTTTGTCAACTAGTAAGGTTAAATCTACCTGAAAATACGTACAATGTAGACAATGTAGTTGTATAGTTTTAGCAGTGTTGTATGCTGATGAAACCCAAAGCAACTGATCACGGAAGCATCAGAGTGGAGAAAAGATAAAAAACAAGCATGGTTTGTTCCTGACTAAGAGCGCTGATTCCATCTGACAGGATGATGTTTTCATTAAGTCAAGAGAGAGACTCAATTCTAAAGCAGAGTTGAGAACTATTGCCAGCAGTTATGGTTGACCCACATGTGCTCGTCACGATTCATATTGTACTATAAAAATGCTCTTATTTGAGATAACCATGATTGTATTGTATAGTTTCCCTAATTTGTCTGTGTTAAATCTACTGAATGAAACCACTGCTAGTTTGCATCAGTCTTATGAAGCTGATGCCCTTTAGAGGCATGTCTTCTATACAATGTGAACTGTCTTTATTTTTGTTTTTCTTATCTGTATGCAGCCTTAAAGGCCCATAATTTAGATCTCTATCCAAGTCTATCACTTTCTATCTATCTATCTGCTTAATTATAGGATATATATA